CTCAGTCCCCCCTTACAGCACACGGGTACTGTCTATCAAACCACATAACAATAGGTTGTAGTTGAATTTCAAAAGGAGTGGATTTACAGCTGAATAAGCATCACTGTGCATTGACTACTCATATAGATGTCTCCCTACTTTTTGTACATGGGCTAAACAGCCTTAGAGCTGGAGCACATAAGGCTCCATCCCATGGCTCCAAGTGCACAAAGGGTGTTCGTTCTTTCAACAACAGAAGAGGCTCCTATCTACACGTGGTCCCATTTAGCCAGCAGGACTCCCGAGTCTTCCTGTGACACGCAGCAAGGGCTTAACGAAACGATCCTGTTCCCGGTCTTTTGCCATTGGTTGTATTTATCGGGAGGTTTAATGATGGAAAATTTTAATCTGAGGGATACTGTAGCGGTACTGGAGGACATGGATGGCAGCCTGAACATGTGCAGCACTGGAAAATCAACACACAGGGCATTTGACTTACTCCTGCTCTGCATAAACTCCCACAGCTCTGCCAGCACAGGAGAGCTAGGATGATGTAAAGGCTTAGTTGCAGTGACCTTTTTGCATTATTAATACACACCTTATACAGAACTCAACTTTTGCATTAACTGAAGTAACCGAATCTTGATAGGAAGAAGCAGCAAGTAGCCCGTGATGGAGACTCTCCTTCAGAGAATGCCACCCAGCCAGATTTTGTAATGCAAAGTCCAAATTCAGCTGTTTATCAAGTAGCAAATAGAAATGCATATATAGATAGATGAGTGCTTTTACTGTATGTGTACATATATACAGATTAAAACAGCCTAAGCAATGGAATTGTGATTTTAAAGGCGCCAAGCAGTAGTAAAACTCCTGAGAAGCGTTTGTTAGAAATGCTGCTCCCCGGTCACTGCTGTCCAAGCCAGCAGATTTAGAAAAAGAGATGTGGGAAGCTGCTGCTCTCATACAGTATAACCCAGCTGCCCTGGAGCCACTGACCCTCAAAGCTGGGCTCTCCAGAAGATCACCAGCCAAAGGGCAGAGCCGGGCTGCGCTCTGCCCTCCGCCCCCTCCCC